TATAGAAAAATGAACATTACAAAAAGCATCAAGTATGGTTTCAGTGAGTCTCGAACCCTAGTGGACTGCGTGACTGTCGCAAGTGCTGATCACTCGCCTATATCAATTTGAGAGGAAAACGGGCCAACAGTTTCCTCGATTTTCAAGGTTTACGCCGTTCAGTGATAAAAATAAAATAATATTCAGCAGAAGTTGGCATGATAGCTTCAAACAGGAGGACTGCTAATTGTTCAAGAATAACTCGTTTTGGTACACACTTCGAAATACCTAATTTTACACGCGACGGAATCCATATTTGACATAAAGGATGAGACGTAAACAAACATGTCTTGTAAAATTAAGTGCTCCGAGACTGAAAAGTTCGTTACTCTACGAAAAGTACGTTTGATTGAGCTGAATTTCGCTATATTATGACTCAACTTTATGTCCTGGTGTACTTTACTAATTGTATAGGGTAATGGAATGTAGTTTCAGTCCACTCCTAGGACAAAAAACAGCATCCGCACTTCTTTACCTATTATCGGCAGAAGGTAAATTAAGCCCTTTAGTGCTGATATTTTGCATGAAGGGGCAGTATGTTCTAGAACAACGTTCTTAAAAAATAACGTTCTAATACTGCATGCTTATGCTAGTGTCCATTTTTCAGACTTTTGTAATCATAGGAGTGAAGAGACATGAGGTAGGAACTTGTGAAGACCAGAGCTATGTATCACACACCTTCCAGCTTGTCAACTCACCATTTTGTAGCTCCCATTTAAGATCTTTTGAAAATTCCCCCCATCTTACGGTTACCGAAACGTCAAACACGGGAAAGCAGAGCAAACTTTTTCAATTCTTATGGTCAATTAGAAATCTAAGCCGTACCCGAACAGGAGAAAATAACTAATGAATACCTAACTCTGACCTGATACCAAAATTCGGTGTTGACCAGCATGGCATCAGAGGTAAAATACCAAAGAATAATTCCCAAAAAATACATGCAAAATACTTTGTAAATTGCAAAAATTGATACTTGGATACCAAAAGAATATCTGTGTGGTATTGTTTTGGTATTGCATTATCATAATGTGGTATTGAAATGGTATTGTGGGAATATTTTTGATGTAGGACTACGTCTGTGATTTCTATATAGGGGGTACATTTTGTGAAAAACAAAAATGGAACATGTAACAAAATTATGAAAGGTTTTGAACATTAATAACTCAGCTGCCCATGGACCAATTTCAATAAATTTATCACCAATCGATCAGAAATATCTCTACGCATCAATAGCAATGCTTCCGATTGATGATTTTCAACAAGAAACTATTGAAAAAGTGGTTATGTCAAGCATTGTCCAATGTACAAATAAAAAGTGATAATTTTATCACTGTTTTCATAAAATAAATGTTCTTTCCAAACCCAGTCGTCATAATCGAGTACCACCTGGGTGCACATCATTCTGCTTTAACATGAAAAGATATACAAGAGCGCTGCTATCTAGCGTCAACTCATTTTCGCTTCGGGCGGCGTGGTGAGCTGGCAGCAGAAGCAGAACTAACAGCAGTAGGAAGATGGTCGCAGGTTAGGTAGTCCACTCTTCTACCTAACAAGCAACAATGACAGGAAAAGGAGGAAAAGGTCTTGGTAAAGAAGGTGCCAAGCGTCATCGCAAGGTTCTTCGTGATAATCGCCATCCGTCGTCTGATTCGCCGTGGCGGTGTCAAACGTATCTCCGATCTGATCTACGAGGTGTGCTGAAGGTGTTCCTGGAAAATGAGATCCGTGATGCTGTCACCTACACTGAACACGCCAAGCGTAAGCGGTCATGGATGTGTCATCTACGCGTTGAAGCGACAGAGACGGTACGGTTTCGGAGGTTAAATCATCACCAACTTTGGCAACAAAGCGGACCATTTCAGGGCCAACAAGTTTATTACAGTAAAGAGTTGGAATAGAATTTATCTGTGTCTGTTTGTCCATATTCAGAATCACATAGCCACAACGACCACACAAAATTCTCTTCAGAGTTGTAATCTTGTAACCAAACTTGGAAGCAGGGGTGCAAGTGATTTTGATCGATTATCTTTTAAAAGAAAAACTAAAAATTTGGTACGCCTACAATTCAAAAACGGAAAGAGTTAAGATAATAGATGATCTATCAATTAAAAGAACTAAATGCTCCTCACATTTGTTCCGTCCCTTAGTGGTCCTACGTCAAGCTTCTGTTCGTGCCCCTAGACATAGACCCTTCTACTTTTTTGGTATTATTTTTTGGTATTTTACCTCTTATGTCAGGCTTATCCAATTTCAGGTGACGAGATATTCGTTCCTGCTCGGGTAGTAGTGTGCTGTGATTTAAGGGGCTCGGTGGCCTAGTGGCAACCGTTTTTGCTTACTGTGCAGAAACCCGTGGGTTAGAATCCAAGCCCCTTCACACTACTGAGTTGATATAGTCGTGACAACCCGGGAGATGCAGAGGTAAACTCGGTGTCTGTCTAGTAACAACGAGTGTCAAACTAACAATCCTTTCGTTCCGCCGATGACCGTAAGAACGTGGCCGGTGCCGTGATTGACCTTGAAAGTACTGATTAATCAGAGTTGCTCACTGATAATGAATTGCTAATTCCAAACCCCATTAATTTGATTCTTTGTGCAAATTTAATTGGATCAGGTCAATCGCGGATTCTGTTTTCGCTAGTTTTTATAAGTCCAACAATTTTCCAAATCATTTAACGACAGCTCATACGCCATATCGTAATCATAACCTTGCACTGCTATAATTGCTTAGGACGAATGAAGCGACAATCAGAGTTGCACACGTGCGCGGCTCTTCTTGTCATTACGAAAGAAACGCTCTTTGCTGCGCACCGCCGCGCTGCTTCAATCAAGCCCATTGGGTGCATTTGTACGTCAAATTAGAGACACCAAGAGGCATATGATTGAGCTGCAATTGTAAACCAATCCCGTCCCGTGGCTAATGCAAATTCGGTATGTTTAAGCTGAAATATGGGGCTGATCTATACTTTAGTCGGATACTAATAGTTAGATTTTTCCTTTTGTATATTTGGGCAGGATTTAAATTAGTTAAGTTAGGGCTTGCTAAGAAATTAATATAATTATGCAAAATTTGAGCAACCCTAGTTCATCAACCAACTGGTAAATCATCTAGGTTAAAATAGCTGTTGATTAAGTTCAGCTGCGCTGTGAAAGGCGGTTGTGCTTCGCGTGGAATTAATCATATCGTTCCTTTGAAATGATACCGACGCGACGACGCCGCGACGCATGATGAAGTCCCCTTTAAATGTTCACGATAAGTTCTATGAACTCGATCTTGGAACTGTTGATATTCAACGCATTGTTTCGTAACGTCTGTGAAAGCTCTAAATATTTCCAGAATAAAAAAAAATATGACCAAACGGACGGTGATAAATGAAAGTGCTGCAAATACGAGTTCTGTTTTGTGTTCTCCAGTTTCACCGTCGTCTCAGTTGTCTGGCTCTGGCTGTTTTTATTTTTGGTGCTAAAAATAGCCCGCCCTACTCGCTTTTCATTTTCTTCTTAACTCGCGTGTAAATATTCATTTCTTCTCGATATAAACCTTTCGATAAAGTGCAACCACCGGAGAAGTGGTGGGCGCTTAGCCTCCAGTTGGTTCACCAGTACAAGTAGTTTGGCTACAAAAGAGAGGAGTGTACATAGTGAAGTGCAATTCGTTAAGGTCCTATGGCTAAAACGTCAGTGGTGGGGTGTGAGGCCTTTTAGCAGTTCGCTCTTATTTACAATTTGTTGCAATTCTTTCGATCTACGTTCCACTGGACGAAACAAACGATCAGGGTGGTTTCGATCTTAGCGAAAACGTATACCGAATGATCACGTAAGCAAGGAATAGCGTAAATTGTCTAAAGCGGAAAGGTTCCTTTCAAAATAAAATTTAAACAATTCATTTATCATTCTAGTACAAAAGGAAAACGCTTGTACCCCATAACCCAAATCCGTCATTCACCGTAATCATCCTAATTCCGTTACGGAAACTATCTCAAACACTAAAAGACTTGCTTAAGTCAGGCACACGTCACTCACTTGAATCCTACATGACTCTCTACTACTCTCTAGAACGGAAACTTATCTACTATACAAACGGCGTTGTCCGTCTCCCCCAGTCCAGCATCCCTCGTCTTCTGCAGCGAAAAAATATGCCTATCATATTTCTTGTGGCCTATGCACTTTCCTTCCCCTTTTCAGTTCGTGTTAAATTGAGCGTACGGTTTTCCACTTGCCTCCACATCATTCTCACCGCGCCCATCACTTCTTTCAGAGGAAGAAAGAACTAATGCAATGGCACACGAAGAAAGGCCCAGCGTCAAAGAGACGTGATCTGGGAAAATCACAGAAATAGGTCTCAGTTTCAAGTAGAAGTCTGGTAATATGCAAAGCTTATGTCAGCCTTTTGCTGTCCAGACCAGTTCACATGATTCCACCACACTCTAGATCGGAGAAACCACACACATGCTATACGGCTATAATGTGGCATACAATACGCCGGCTCTTTTTTTTTCGATTATGATTTCAACCGGTACTGCCTGCCTCCGATGACGACGATGATGTAAGGATCAGCAGTCCTTCGTCCGTCCGTGGTGTGCAAAGTTGATGCTGGAAGGAAAACTTGTTCCGTTGTCGTTACTTAAGTGAAACTGAGTGCCGTTTCAACCATATGAACGACGACCGGAGACATATTGAGGCGGTCGTTGGAATGCCAACTATGCGCATATAATTACAATGTTTTAAAGCCCAACGACGACGGAGGTGTAACCACCGTCATCATCTGTAGATGATATGCATAATAGTCCCATCGTGGAATCGATTATGATTATGAGTATATCTGTTCATAATCAATAAGCTTGGAGCCAGTGGATGACTCGTCGAGAGAGGATATATTAATAAGTCGTCGTTCCTGTGTGCACAGCTCGAACTACCCATTTTATCTTCTTTTTTTTTGTTCTCTATTTTCCCTGTTTCAGACACATCCCAAAAGCCAAAGCCACCACCATCGCCGAAACGCCGGAGCTGAAGCGGATAGCGGAAAACACCAAGATTCAGTCCAACGTCAAATATCACGCAGACTTTGAGAAGCTGAAAGGAAAAGTCACACAGGTATGGGGATGTTATTTTATTTTTGCGGCTTATTCAGTTGTTGAGTGGATAGAAATTTTGAATCTGCTTGGTTATTAGTTATAAGAGTTATATACATTTAACTAGTAACGGATGGAGAATTGTTCCGAACCGTTGGATTCCTTTGAAATTTTTCTTAAAATTTTCTCGAAACTCGCAACTCTCATATGAAATTTCTTCTGAATAGTCTTTCCTTCAGAATTTCTTTTAAATTCTCCATCACTTCGTTTTTAGAATTATCCTTTGATATTTTACTTTTTGAAATTGCTTGAATTTCTTTTCTAAACTTATCTCAGTAATCATTTAAAATTATCGTCCGCACACCCTTTAAACTATACTTATAATTCTTTTTTAACTCTAATAGGAATTCTGTTGGAATGCTACTTTAAATTTTCCTGTTACCTTCCTCAGATTCACATAGGAATTCAATTCAGAACGTCCTTTCTTTTCCACAGAAATCCAGAATTTCTTAGGACTTCATCTCAAAATTGTCTTGGAATGTTGGGCAGAGAAAACTGTTGATACAAATCCAAACTGTTACAAATTTAAAAATAAAAACAAGGAATTACTCATGTTTCTCCTGAATTTACAAGTTACTTTTTAGCCGTTTTGGTCGCCTTTTGATCAACCTTAAGTTACTTTTGAGTCACTTTTTTAAGACTATTTGGACAACCAGACGCAGAAGCGACAACCACAGATCATATGCCTTGAGGAGGTTGAAGTGAAAAACTCTAAATGGTGTGAAACATGTTGCGGGATGAGGAAAATCTTGCGTGACAAGAAAAACTTTGCACGACATGAAGTATGTTGTTCGTCATGAAAAATTAAACCAACGAGCATACACTCAGTTCTTTTTTCACACGGGGGATATGTACCGTGTAAAAAACATACCAAGATTTTGATTTTTCACATGCTAAAATATTTTTAAAAAATTGGATTTGATGCCATTTGTAATCATACACTGGAAAAAGCTTTCACTTAGTTTCTATTAGGAACGCACATAATATTTTTTTCCAATAACAAAAATTATGATTTTTATCTGAATATCACATAGCATAAGAAATTCTATATGAGAAATCATAACGTTCATGTGATTTAGTGGTGCAATTTCCAATTATGGCATCACATGAAAGTTATGTGAAATTCACATGGATATTTTCCACTAGTTCTGTGATTTAAAAAAATACTCGTAGTGTTCTTTTGAATCTGGCTTAGAAATAGCCCATTCGTATAGTTTATTTGTCATTGTTATGAGATGTCCTTGCGATGATGCGTTTCAAAACTCCTCGCAAAAAAAAATCCACTCCGCATTGACACCGAAGTATTTTTCCATATGGCACAAATTAAAAGCTGTCATCTGATTTTTGTACTGGCTATCTGATCCATCTGAGAAAAAGTGGAAGCCCAGTCAACTTGCTTTTTAAGAAGTTTTTACAGTTAACTATAAATAATCTAACTGCAACGTGACATATTCACAAATTATTGGGTTTCTACTACCACATGATCCATCATGCACCGATCTGCCTGACGCCATTGCTTGAGTTGTAATGATTCAATACGATCCGTCACAAAGAATTGTAATGAATTCTAGGAAAGAGATTCTATTCCTGGGCATTGTTCACATTTTATCAACCTACACTGTTCGTTAAGGCTATTGCAAAGTTTTTTTTTTTTTTAATAAATCATGGTATGAATTCACACCGGTTGAATGAAAGATTCTATCTTGAAGAGTTTTGAACATGAATTTAACATTCTGATGATAAATGCATACGCATACGGTATGCGTACCACTCATACCTTATCTACTAGGGTTTTTCTCTGGTGTTGTCATAATGCCTCATTTTTTCCTTGAGTTTATTCGATCGTCGTTGCACCTCCTAGGCATTTTCAATAGTGCTGCCGACCGATTGGGAACTGATTGTTGTTTCCACATCAATTATGGTTTCTGCAACAAAAGAAAATTATTAATTATATTATAATAAATCATAAAAACAGTCCTTTCCAAGAACGATTTGTATGGTTATTTTAAAAAGATTTCATTTGAACAGTTGTCTTACCTTGGCTACTGAAGTAATTCCAGATGGTACTGCGACGCCAAGTTGATACAGATCATGGCTTCTAATTGCGGTAATTCCAGATGGTTCAGCAACGTCGGGTTCATTATGAACTGTAATAATTCCAGATAGTTGTGCAACGTTGAGTTTATGTTAAAATAGCAATCTTTACAAGCAAAGGAATAGCTGTCATCTAATTTTATTATTTTCTCCGCTGCAAAATCTCGTTGTTTTGGGTAAAGTTTACTAACAGACCTTTACATTTCCCACTTAGCACACATTGAACATTTGTACTTCGTAGTTGAGAATGTTTGATAAGACAATTAAGTTTCGTAACTGATGAATTCTTTGACAGTAACATGTTTTTATATGCCGCATAGTCAATCATACCACCTCCTTGGTAGATAGAAGTAAAATACGAACAGTGATATAGCAATGAGTGTAGGTAGAAACTAGAGCTTTGTTAGAGAGAGAAACCAAAAATCGGATCTACAGCACAAAAGTGCAGTCAATCGAGCAGAAGACCTGTCAGTGGATAGACAATAATTTTCTATTAGACTGAAGTATTGTTATCGCCCAAAAAATAAAACGGTAATTAAAAAAAAGAATAATGTATGGGGTAAGATATAGTAGGAGTTAAATTAAAACAGATGAAAATAAATTATGGATCTTCTTAAAACATATCTTTAAATACTTTTGACCTCAAAGTTCCATTTTCACTAACAACAACACCGCCCTTTTCAGCATAGTCCGTGAAAAGAGCAAGCTGAGAAAAACGCAGTTGAATATTTTTTCTCCGTGGGCTCTTATGGATGGGAAAACATATTTTTGATATTTTCACAACATTTTCTGAACAAAGTAGGAAACTTTTCGTGTACATTGTAAAGTGATGGTACCGTAAAACGGGGTAACATTGATAGTTTTTTAAAGTATATTGTAAATATTTTTTAAAGCAATGAATGTTTTTCAAATTTTATATTTTTAAAACAAGTACAAGTACAAGGATCCAAGAGTTAATTCGTTGGGTATACGATATCAACGGAAATACCTTAAACTACAATATGGAACCAATGTCTCTTATTTGGAAAAAGCACAGCGAGTAAATTTATTCTTTATATTATACAATCAAAGTTACCCGCATTATCAAAGATACCCCGTTTTACGGTACTTGAAAATCGATTCCAACGTATAACTCATTTTTGCTAAAAATGCTAATGGGACTCTTACTAATGCCGCATACTTGACGAAAACGACGAGTATGTTATGCACGAAGGTCTAAGTCCTCAGAACAATAATTTTAAATTAATGCAGACATGACAGTCCTGTCGCTTCGAAGCAATGGAGAAAGAAGCATGATAGTTTTGAGGCAAAACATAAGATTTAATATTTCCAAAAACAAATATCTCAAAAATGAAAAATTATGCCTTCCTGGATTTTTAATATGTTAAGTTAAAAAGTATGAGCTTTTTAAAAAAAAAGTACAAGGATTTCTTTGGTATCAGCACCTTGAAATGCATAAAAAAAATAGAAGAATAATCGAAAATCGGTCGAGTAGTAAAAAAGTTATGAATTTTCAAAGTTGGGTATATAGGCAAAAATGTTGATTTTTTGGACCGCGCTAACTCGGGAAGGTGCACCCTAAGGGTGAAATAAAAAAAATATTTGGGTCTAAAATTTATCGATAAGGAACAAATATACAAGGTTTGAGCGAAATCAGAGCAATTTTTGCAATGCTACTTAGAATCAATCATTATATTCTCTTGTTTACACATCTGTTTACAATTTTCATATTGTCTTTCAAGGGGGGTCTGACATTGACCCGACATAAACCCAAAATTGACCCAACAACAACACGACATTGGGTCGACATCGACCTTAAATTTTACTTGCATTGATCCGACATCGGGTCGACTTGTCTGTTCGGGACCATTTTGCTGGGTTTCTTCCATACTCCACTGTCGTATATCAAATGATAGTGAGTGACTCAATTGACAGTGATAATGAGCTTCGAATGAGAAAGGGGCTCTTCATATTATGGTCATGTGAGAATTCGTTTATGATTTAATGGTTGTATTGAATGATATGAAAATTTACAGCACTGCTCGCAATCCAAGATTAGGACATCGTAAAATACCGTGGTTAGTCTATAAAATCTGAATCCATATCACGCACGCCCAGGTATGGAAAATCATTTGCATTCATTTCGTCCATTCATTTACATTCATTTGCCTCTAACTTTTTTCTTTAACAGCATTCCGCAAAATGATGTATAGAACTTTTGTAGGTTTTGTTATTAGCTACAACTTTTGTGTCAAATCCGTATATCTTATGCATGATGAAGCCGAGCGAACAGAAGTCACTACTGTTTTTCAGTGATTGTATTTTACATTCACTGAAAAACAGTAACAAGTTCTGCCCACTCTAGTTCATGATGCATAAGTGATACAGATTTGAGTTATGAACAAAACTTGTAACTAATAACAAAACCTACAAAAGCTCTATACATCATTTTGCGGAATGCTGTTGATGAAACAAGTGTTAGAGGCAAATGAATGTAAATGAATGTATGAAATGAATGCAAATGATTTTCCATGCCTGCTCACGCCAAAGACATGAGTTCAAATCTCGCCCAGATAAGGCACGAATGATCCAAGAGTTTTAAAGTGACTATAATTTAAAAAAAAAAATAAACAAATTCTAGAAATTTTGTTCAACTTAGTAAACCAAACCAATTATATTATGGTGCTCCACGATCATTCTATCATTAAGTCGATTAATGGTATTCCTTGTTCAGTCTGTTTAATTTCAAAATCAGATATCCGGGATGATGTGCATAATCATGTCATGAGTCTCCGTGAAGTACAAAATACGCATACATTCTTTTTGGACATCAAACAAGATTTCGATCAACCTGTAAAAGATCTCCAGGACAATATTATGGTAAGACATCTTTGTATTCCAAAAAATGTTGTTTTACACATAGAACTTCAAGATCCTAATTTCAAAAAGATTTGAAGAACTCTCCATTTCTCCTGCTCAGGTCTCTTGTATTGATAAATGCTTTTTCCGACATACGAAAACAACATTTAGGCTCATTTTTTGCAGTGAGGTGCATGATTTCATGAGATTCTGGAGATCATGTTAATGTTAATCTTATCTCATATGTTTTGCTACAAAATAGACGTACTGTAGAGCAATTCTGAAATTATATCATAATCCCAAAGGGGTAATTATATAATGCCCTTTTTGTTTAAGATAGGGCTTTTTTAAATAACCGGGAATAAACCGGGAATTGAAATGATGGATTTTAATGGACACCCTGTCTATTAATAATTATAGCAATTCCCCGAAAAATACTTCTAAAAAAAAAATACTTGGAGTTCTCCTCATCATGTAGTTATGAAGTTCCCATGGAATTACTATAGGAATTTTTCTTTTCTCAGAGTTCCCATTGATTCTATGAAATGCTTCTCATAATTTCCTTGGAATTCTCTTTTGAATTTTCTAAAAAGGATCACTGCAATATCCTAGGAATACTCCTCAGAATGTGTTAGATTTTTTCCTCAACATATTTTTGGAACTATCCTCGGAATGTAGAAATCAACTCCCTTGTAATTAGCTCAAAATTTTCCTTAAAACTCTAAACCCAAACCTAAGAAGAATTATCTGCAGTATTATTGTTCTTAAAAATTAAATGTATTGCATGGTAAGTTGTTCTATGCGCCCTATTTTTTATCCTTTTTACAAAGAAGGGTATAGATATCACTTGAAAAACCGACTATAGATCCGAGGCCCGGAGGGCCGAGTGTCATATACCATTCGACTCAGCTCGACGAGATCAGAACATGTCTGTGTGTGTGTGTGTACGTGTGTATGTGTGTATGTGTGTGTGTATGTAACGAAATGAATGCGCTCACGTTTCTCAGCAACCGCTCAACCGATTTGGACAAATGATAGGTCTTGGGGTCCCATTGAACGCTATTGAACGGTTTTGGAATCGGTGAACCGGTTCCGGAGATATGGCCGGAATAAGATCCGGTGAATATGGGCCTTCACGCTGGATTTAACGGAAAACGTATCAAAACCATCATGCGACACATCAAATTACTACAGAATTCAAAAATAAGATCAATGCAAGTCGTGTTAAGGGGGTATTCCCAATGTTTTGCCTTTTTTCGGCCTGTTTTTCAATTAATTTTTTTTCAAGGAAAATGAATAGTAATGCGCCTAACTCTTTGGGATTCTTGTTTATTGAACATTAAAGTTTACAAATAAATTTTTTTCGACATAAAAAAAAACATTATTGACGTCAGAAAATGGCGGCAAACAGACCCCTGTTCGCCGCAAACGCCTGGACGGGCGAAGACTTTTCTCTGGAACGGCTTCATCTGAAACAGATTTCGTGATGAAATTAATAATCTGCATAAGATTCTCTGGAGCTTCTCCCGTTGGCAGCAGAAAATCTTGCAAATTAACAAAATGGCAACCATATGAAAAAACAGGCGATTTTTAGCCCGCTTTTTTGCAGCTTTAAGGTGCTTCAAACAATGTTAAATGTTAAGTGGGAGAAGCTCCAAAGAATTGAATAAGGAACAAAATGCGCAAAGATTCAAGTCAATATCTCTTATAGTTTCTGAGAAAAATCTTCGCCCGATAAAAAAATGTGGTTTCGAGAAAAACGCGTTTAAAGTTTTGACTTTAGGTAAAACCATTTGGGGGTTCTTACCATTAGTCAGCTATGCCTGGACACCGAATTCGCTGATCGGAAAACGGCTTGGGGAGATGAAAGTATATAGTCTAAAGTACAAAAAAACGTGAAAAAAAATTTGATTTTTTGGAAAAAAAAGATCGGGAATACCCCCTTAAGTGTTCCAGACCACATTGGACACACTTGGACATGTTCCGGGTACCCCGGGGAAGTTGCTTGAATATGAATTGAATTAAAACCCATTAAATCACATTAAAATACGATGATAAGGTGATTGGTAGCCTCACCAAATAGACTACACCCGGATATATTCCGGGTACCCCCAGGCAGTGGCGTAGCGTCACTGGATGAAATGGGGGTGGGGGGCTTGGTCACTGATAATGACAATAAAATAAATAAACTTGAATAAGTAAGAAGGGTCTGATCACACCATAGGTGGATAAATTCGGGTTTTTGTATTGGGATTTGGATGTGAATCACTTTCAAGTTATTTTGCATTTCAAATGCAAATTCATTATTGTATTAAAGTAATGCTGGGTCGCTTTTATTCTATGGAATCTCATAATGTAAGGGTGTTTTATTATGTTCACTAAATACTCAGAATGTATACCACCAAGAACATAAATAACTGAAGATCATCCTTTGATATTTTTTTTAAATGATACATACAATACTCCCTTAGCTCAATCGGTAAATGCACAGTTACAAAGCAAAACCATACTTAAAAGTAACTGGGTTTGATTCCCGGATGGAAAATTTCTCGATTTCCCTGGACGATTGTACTTGTCACACAATTATACTAATGCGAAAATGATACAGGCATCGAAAGCTCTCAATTTATATGTTGAAGTGTTTCATAGAACACTAAGCTGAAACCAGGTTAAAAGCTAATGTGCTACAAGTAATAACCTTGAAATTCCATGTAGTTGTAATACAAATGGTATTTTAAGTAATGGAAACAGTTTTTTTATTTGTCGCCGATTAGTATTTATATTTGCGGATTTGTGTTCAGAAATCACGGATTTCGCGGATCCAATTTTGAAAATCTTGTAGTAACCCTGGATTTCTGAAATAAACTCTGCAAAGGGAAATGATTCCAAAAAAAAATGCTTGAGTATATTCCAATAAAATCCTGTAAAGAGTTTTGAGTTCTTGTTTAAGGTAGTTAAAACATTAACAAATTTTGAAGAATTCGAATTCAGAACTGCTGTCTTAGTTATGACCCATTCAACCTAGTGATTCCTTCGGCTTTTGGGTTTATATTTAATTTTGAAGTATATCGCACAACAGAGACAATTTTCAGAAGTCCGGGAAAAAACGGAAAATTGCTAATCGGAATTCACTGGTCACCATGAGCAAATAATGACGGTGACCTTAGAGACTTCATAGTGTAGCTTTACACGGAGAAGTCACAGCTCGGGCTCAAATGAAAGATTTTAGAATATTTAGTGTTGTAGGACTGCATCTTGAAATTTGTGTCACTTAGTCCACAAATCCGAACATTTTTAAAAGTTAATTATCAATGTTTAAAAAATCAAGCATATTTTATCATGTTCTCACATTATCATTTAGAATCATCACACGTGTTTATCATGTTGCAGAGTGGACGTAATATGTACTGAAAAAATAATGAATCGTCCGGATTAACGAACTGATCGATTCATTCCGGAAAATTGTTGCTGTCTAAATAGTCAAAAAACCGCCAATTCAACTTTGCTATTAACCGTTGAACCCTAGCATGCGATTGTTCACTTCACTTAAATCATCTCCGTATGCGGTGAATTACCCTAGATGCTATATCATCCTCAGAATCATCGGTTGAAAATAAGTAGAGTAAAAATAGGCTCTCCAGTCGCACAAAGCAAATAAAATAAACAAAGCAAAATGCCGCCAAAGCGAAAAGTGCCATTTGGCACGAGATTTTCTCTCCCGCGCAAACCCCGCGGCGGGTTTGAATGAAAAGCGGTTTTCAAACGTGATCCCTCAAATGCAACGGAAAGAGCCTTGCATTGTTCGAGCGCTTTGCTTTGTGTTGTGTGCCCTTTTGGTTAGCGAAAATATTTATGCTTCTATATGGTTCAGTGGAGTGATTGCTGCTGTGTAACGGATGCCAGATTGACCTAGTTCATAGTTTTATTCCACGGGATGCTTACATATAAAGTTCCCGTGAAATTGTGTTACGATAAGTCTCCCCAGTCATATGTGATTGCTTTCTCTTGCGAAAGTAATTTTACCGTCTACTTTTATAAAAGAAAAACAACGAAAACCGCTTTTTAAAATGTTATCAAATCCGCCTGTAGAATGCTGATTTGTAGCAATAAAGCTCGAACAGAGTCATTTCACTTTTATTTTTTTCCACGAGTGGATCATTTCTATTCGGTCAACACTTTCTTCCGCGCAAAACTTCAATTAAATTAATACATCACGGAACTCTTTAATCCAAGTTTCAATTTCTCTGTTTTGTTTCTTTTCTTTTTCTCTCGTATTTTTATGTACACACTCCGGGCTTCGTTCGCCAAATGTCGATCACCATCATCATCATCATCATGATCATCTTCGTTCGTATGCTGGCCGCGTCCGTCGATCAACAAAACAACAAACCCACGAACAAACAAACAAACAATCAAACAATCCAATCGTGGCGGAACTTGAACCCCCGGACAACCAACCCGACCCGCGGCCTCACCACTGCAAACCCAAACCCGATCTGCAACTGAAAATCGTGCGGCCACGGATGTGCTGCTCTTGTTTCTGACGGGTTCGTTTCCACCACCAACCCGACCGAACGTGTGGAATACGCTATAAAACAAGGTCGCCGACGATCCCGAAACGCTGCGAATCAAGCAAAACACGAAAAACATCTCCAACGTTGCCTACCACGGTGACTTACAGAAGAAAGCTGCCATGGAAAGACAAAGAGAATGTACAGAAATTATCGATAGTAAAGGTGAGTGAGTTTGCAACTTTTATACGGAGTGCTCTCCTATGATGGTTGCACATTGGTAGGTACTACTATACAGGACTAGACCCAATTCTCCACCCCTCGTGCCACCCCCTCAACTCTTTGGAGGGGCCAGTTGTCTCGTGTGTCGTTTGCCCTTTGTTTCCTGCATTTATTGGTGGCTGTTTTCTGGGGTGCTCTAAACTTTTTTTTCATCTTTTCCTCTACTGGCTTTCTCATTAGAGTTGCATTCAATAACGACGGAATTGACGAATGATAATTAGGTTGATCTGAATGATTGATAAAAGGAAAATACAAACTTATTACAAACCAGTCATTATGTAATTAAAGGTGAATTTATTCAGTAGCTGGGTTGATTCGGTAGCTCTTTTAAGTGTTTGCTAGCCTCCACAAGGGTTTGCGTTTTTTGCAGCTCAGATACATTGTTTTATGCATCGTCATGTAGGAGTTGATAAATTGCATAAAAAGCCGTCAAGAGTTTGTCCCTAGCGAAAGTATAAGTTGAGCTCAGCTCTAATTGTAACTTATGTCCACATGAAATTGCCTTTGTTAATTATATTTGATTCTTCAGAAAGCAGTAATGTAACTTTTTTAATAATTGTCATTTGTATCATCGATGTGAAGGCGTCTTCCATGAAAAGTGAAAAACACATCCGTTGGAAGTTCAGTTTGCTTTATGCAAAAATGTTATACATTTATTTCTGGTATTTTTTAAAAATTAAAATGTGTTCATTGTAGTAATTCGTACCCAGTCACAGACATGGAAAATCATTTACATTCATTTCGTGCATTCATTTACATTCATTTGTCTCTAACTTTTTTCATCAACAGAATTCCGTAACGTAATGTATGGTGCTTTTGTAGGTTTTATAATTAGCTACAACTTTTGTCAACAATTCAAATCTATATCTCTTATGCTTGATGAACCAGAGTAAACTGAACCCACCATTGTTTTTGAGTCAATGTAAATTACATTCACCGAAAAACAATAACATGTTCTGCCAGATTTGAATTGTTGACAAAAGTTGTAGCAAATTATAAAACCTACAATAGCTTCATACATTATTATACGGAATTCTGTTGATGAAAAAAGTTAGAGACAAATGAATGTAAATTAATGCTCGAAATGAATACAAATGATTTTCCATGCCTGCCCAGACAAGTCACAAATGACCTCTAATGTGAGTAATTCTCGCTGAATGCGACCCACTCGTTTTTCCTGGTTTTAAAATATTGGATGATTTCCATTAACACATCTCTAAAACATTTGGCTTATAATCCTAATGTTTGCATACCATTCGAAAGGGACACGTCAGCCTATGTGAACCTGGAAAACTGAGAATACTGAGATTTTCACCAAGAAAAACCGGGAAAAAGTTGGGAATTTAATAAATCTTTCAGGAAAGTAATCTTGTATCTATGATTTTAAAAGGTTCTGAATTTCACATCGGTGATAATGGTAAAAGTTTCTTAAACGTACGTCATCGTTTATTTTTATTATCAGATAAAAACTAATCAGTGATACGCGAAAACTTCTACACAACTAAAAATTTGCAGTAATATGAACAAAGTGTACCAAAAGTGTTTAGTTGACGTATTGCCTATTTATATAATTATCTTCTTTTTTTTAGAATCACGTAGATTCGGTGAAGATAATCGATAATTTTTTGTATAGTCATTTTAAAGCTCTTGGGTCATTTGCGACTTGTCCGGGGATGATATTTTAACTCGTGACTTTGGCGTGAAAGGTATGGATGCTAACCACTACGCCGGGGTCGCCCAATTGATAATTGTAATTGACAGGTGAGCATACCGTGGCTTATTGCTGAGTCGTTTTCAAATACATTTATTTGTAATGCTTAGTAGAGCGAATCAATCATTTTCTTCCTTGCTGTAAACTATTTCAGCTTTGTTTTAGCAGATACAATTAATCCAAATGGCAGGAATCTAAACACAAATTAATTTCGCGTCGATGTTATATCTAAACCGTTCAGTCTTGAATCTATCAATTTCAAGTTTGCACTCGGTGATAACGTTTTTCATATTCTTTCAGTTTCTCACCTGATTCGCTCTACTGTTGTCAATGCTGAGTATGTGGGCAGTCATCTTCTTGGTAGAATCAACATTTGTTCAACTATCTTTTAGCTTCCAATCGTGGCTTTTTTTTCTCACTTGAGGAAATGAATTTACTACTAATTGTAATAGTAATTAATCCGAAATAGGTTAAAATACTTCCAAAACACAATGTTTTGCAATCGTTTTCACAACTAGAAACAGTTAAAAATAATATATTAAGGTAACAGTGAATACTTTCTTGTTATATTTAAGTGCCGTTTGTGGTCCATAAATGCCCTCATTGTGACTCAAATTTTTATGTATTTTAAAACTTCAAAATTGGCTTCATGTCGACTTCTAATAATTTATACATAGGGTTACGGTATGTAATGTGGGTCTAGTCCTTTCATTCGGCCTATCACGCAAATAAATAATTAATTAAGGAATATTACACAAAAAATAAGGAAAATATTGATCACTGATGATTGATAAATGTGTACCACACACAAATCAATTTATATCACAACATTTCAATACATTTTCAGCTCTCGTAAGTAATAAAACTGGTTGAGAATATCACTCTGTTCGGAGTTTTTAGCCGCCATGACTTCTAAGGTTAAGATGGGAAGGTTGCACTGACGATCATCAAATGGCCTGATTATGGCATTTATTGAATGGAATTACCTGATAATACACACTAGACGTAAAACTCACAGTTACTGTTTGAATATTTTATGTTTATTTTAATTGTTTAACAACGTTTTCACAAGTAAATCATGGACCCAACTTTAGGGACACATTTCTTTTCTATGTTCCTAACTTTGGCCCATGAAATTCATTTGACAGCATATAGCAATAAGAGTAACGTCAACAATGTGGTTTGCATTTGGATGATAAGGAACGAACAGGAAGGGAGATTTTTTCTGCCAAATCTGTATAATGAACATCACAATGTTTTGATTTAGATATTCTGCGGTCGAAAGACGATAAGCGAAATTTTTAATTTTTAATTTTTAACTTGAGTGATTTAATGTAGTTTTCGTAAAATTTTCTCTAAGAAATGTTTTGAGGAATGAAGAGTATTAAGTTAACAGTGATAGTGATAAAAAAAAATACATAAGAAAACGTTACCAAGAGCGTTTTTTTTTGAGAATCAAACAGGATAGGACGAAGTTGCATCCATAAATAGACCCAATTTGGGGACAATAGACCGATATTACATACATTTCCCTGGTGAGTTTTTGTCTTAAAAAAAGTAAGTTTTTCAACTTTTTGCGGTTCCTGATAGCAAACGACATGATAAGCATATCTAAGCATACCATTTAGCAGTAGAATATCGTTTGCAGGTAAATTAATTGATGAGTTATGATTAAAAACGTAATCTATGGCTGCATATTAGACCGAGACCCTATTTGTATAGAATCATATAAGCCGGTTCGGTATATTTCAGATAGTTGAAGATGCTAGTTTCAAATAACAGACTGTAGTGGTAATTTTTATACGATAGATGGAGTAGATGAAAGCATAGAGTTGATAGTTCCGTTAGAGTACGGCAGTGTGAAGATTGCATATAGATATTAGAATAGCGAGCTAGAACAACTTTTAAGGAAGGTACAAATCGGTTTTTTCATCTCTCTTTACCAAACTCCCCCTTTGGAGAGGGATGGTGAGGGGTGCCCCCCCCCCCCGCCACCACTGGCAAAAAGAGATGAAAACCGACCCGCTCAAGTACCAACTGTGTGTTTGAAACAGTTCTACCGATTTTTACCGCACTTCAGTTGTTATTTGAAGGAAGGCATCCAGTCGTAGGTTTGGAAATTGCAACTGCAAAAAAAAATATTTCAGATGTTTGACAAACTTAACTCTCGAAGTACTAAGGGTGAAAACTACGTGTCGTTGCTGTGACACAACACAACAGTCATGTGTTGCCGGGAAGCAACCTTGCTCACAACATCGACACGTAGTTTGCAGCCTTGGTACTCTGAGAGTTAAAAGATCAGCATTGTTTAAAAAAATATGATTTTTAAATCATGCTGTGATCAAAATTGTGCTTAAATAAGATCCTTTTGTTTGTTACAAGGCTTTTTCGAATAGAATTTTAATTAATAAAAAATGCTGGACATTTGAACAAATTTACAAATAAATCGATAGAAGCATTAAGGCGTTTCTTTGTAGAGTCCTTTTTCATATAACAATTAGTAATTTTCAGCATAAGCCTGATTGGCCGCCCACTTTTGCAACTCCGTTATTGCCAGATCAGCTGTAACTACACAGAGAACCAATAGACGATGCTTAGGACTAGAATTCATCCTCAATGTGTAAAAACTGGTGATCTCAAAGCAGCGCCGGCCGCGCCCGAACGCAGATCAAGAAAAGAATGGTTAGGAATGTGTTGACGTGACACTCGCTTTGATGGAAGTCGAAAAATCCTTTGCTCTTCTACGAGGAATCACTGGGATGTATGGTAAGAGGGTTGGCTTTGCAGCAGGGTTCATTTTGGTAAACGATAAGCTGAATTGATGTCCTAACGATCGTATAACGCGAAGGAGCTTGGGATTGAACCGACGGTTTTCTGCTCAGTAAGCAAAAACGTTTGCCACTAGGTAAACCAGCTCCTTTTCAATTATCGAGTTGCTGTTATTACCATGTAGTCATATTAACAAATAATCATATAACGATTAGTAATTTAAGAACATAAAGCTCAAGATTTAAGAGGTTTATAGATCTGTAAATTCCAGACATTACTTGCTTCTTCGTAGTTAACAACAAATTTCGGTTTCAGCTACGTGTATTCACTAAAACATTAATATGTTGGCTTTAAATATTGCAAAGTTTTATGCAAAAAACCACGCAACAAAAAATCAACTTAAAATGTGTTATAAAAGAAATTAAATTAGTTTGTAAAAACACTATTTGCAAAACCGGGAATT